CAACCATTTTTCCTTCTCCTTACCTAAAATATCCAGCGATGCGTGCTCCCACTCTCACTCTCCCCTTCCTTTCTCTCCCTCTGTTTGTCGTTTTATGTTGCACGCTGACACGCACACCTCAGAGCCCAGGCGTCTGTCAGCAGAAGCTTGTGCTGGCTCATATTGCAACTGGCTCCGATAATAAAAATAATGCAGAAGAGATATCTTTCTACTCGTTGCACGGAGAAAACAGGGGTGCCAAGTGAAGACTGTACAAATTGATGCGTACCCTAGCCTCTTCCCCACCCCCTTTCGCCCCCTTTTTCTCTTTTGCCCCCCTCCCTCTCCCACCCTACCTACTCCCCCTCTTCCTCTAAGACGACTTACACTTTTTTACAACCCTCTCTGGTCTTACAGTCACAATTTTTAGCGGAGGGGAGAGCCAGAGAGAGGGAAGCACGTCGGGTGAGAGAAAGGGAGAAGAGGAGAGGGCGTGATTTGCATAAGGAGAGAGGGGGAGGCTGGAGCAGGAGGAGGAGGACGAGGAGGGAGCACTGAGGCAAGGAGAAGAAGGAAGAGAGGCGCAGGGAGAGGGCCAAAACTCTGAAGAGGGAGGGGATCAAGAGGGAGGGTCTCTGTTGCCTAGTCCCACCAGAGTCACCTTTACTGTATGAAGAACCTCTGCTTCAGGCTGAATAACTCTCCATTTGGGTTTATCTCGCGATGAAGCCTGTAGATGAATAAATGTCCAGCAGGTCTTTGTTCTTTAAGGCCATAAAATCTGGACTAGGGAGAAAATGCATATACCACATTACATGAGCATTTAATGACAATGTCAGCCACTTAACAAAGTAGCTCCAACTCCTATGGAATAATTCGACAAATAACACATGGGCGATTAAGCCGTGCCCTGTGCTGTGATGTGTGTCTGTCAAGCAGCTCCCTGTCTGTCTGGGAAAAGCTTGCAGCGGTGTGTCCAGTCAAGCGGCTCTGCAGACCTCCTCCTCCTCCTCCTCCTCCTCCACTCCTGTCGATCTCGCTCCCTCTCCCCTTCACGCAGCCCCCTGTCCCGTCTCCTATTGTGTGGTAACCATGGCAACCCGGCCGGAGACTGTGCCCGGTGCGCCTGCGCGGCTCCAGCCTTCCTTCGCCACCTTCAACATCATCATCGTCATCACGAGCAGCCCCGGCACCGACTGCTCGCGCTCCCTCTGCCGCTCAGTCTGTGTAAACGATCCGCGCGTGCAGCTGGTAATTGATCTGCAGCCGCGCGCGCGCTGTGAACACGTAACAACAACAGATGTGTTGTTATGAGGACCAGGTGTGAACTCCAGGTTGTCCTGCTGTGAGTATGAAGTAACGTAATTTTGTAGGCATTACCCAGTTTAAACAATTTAAATCTCCCTGGGCTATAGGTTATACAGTATATATACAATATAGGTCCTACTGTATGTCATAGGAATACGTTGCTTTAAGTCATCCTGTTAGTATTCTAAAACTAAACGTTATCAATGGTTTATATGATACTATTGGACATTAATGTACACTATTAATCAATTAACAATACACAATTAAATGTGCCATAGAATGGGTGAGCATCCTTTCAAGATACATAGATGATGTCTGACCCATTATTTGGCTCCTAAGATTAGTATCAAGACATGCCATCATAAATCTTCAGGGCCTCATAACAAGAAACACCATTTTCCAACCCTAACCTATCGCTAGATGCACACCTGTGATTTCATAGACACTATTACCCAAGCAAAATGTATGTTTATAAGGTACGGCACCCTCCATTCTGGTGTTCACAGGAGGAGTTATAGTTGTTGGTAAATATATTAATGAACACTTATAGTACATTATAAAAAGTGTCACCCTCACATATAGTATCAGTATCAGTCTAATACTGCTTAACTACTACAACCCCTAAATGGACAGCAGCCTTTAATTAATAACATCTGTGCTTTTTACATATCATAATGCTTCCCATGAAAAAGACCAGTGATTTCACAGCAGATGTTTAACATCTGACAATGAGTTACATCCTGTTTTTTTGTCTTGATGTTGTGACTTTAACGGACTTATGCCTGTACAACATCTGGCTCTCTACTGATACAGATCTACTTCAGTACTCAACAAAGAGCCTGTGGCACAGCTTAAACAATTAGTGAACTTAATGATTAATTAATTTATGGTCCTGCGGGGTAAAATGAAAGATAGAAATTCCACAGGATAACACCTGTCAAACTCCTGCTGTGACAATAGTGTGGCTACAAGAGCAGCATATGTAGTTGAATGTTTTTGCCATGCAAAAGTGATTTTCTGGGTTTCTTCCTTATGCAATTCTGTGATGATTTGTCCTGTATTTATGAAAAGTGAACTGGGAAACAGCAGGGCGTCTCCTATAAAATGACAGAGAGCTTTGGTTTGAGTTAACATATATCCATCTGTTTATTTAGCTTAACTTTAGACAAAGTAACAGACACAATTTTTTTTTAGCAAGCTGCTTAGTGTTCACATCAGAAACAACACGAGGAACAGGAGAGAGAGGAAACAGCAGGGCACAAAAGATCAACACATCCGAACAATTAGGAAAAGGAAAAGAAACTAACAAGTGCATGAGGGAAAGTGTGGGTTTGCACCACAGACTACATGACATAATAATATATGCAGTTTATTATTTGAGCTGAGCGACAAAACACTGCTATTTTTTTCCTCCACCAGGCTTTGTTAGGTATTTACTGCAATAAACTGTCATTAAAGTCAATCACTTGCTGAAGCGCTAGGTCAATAGTCTGTAACTATGGTGCATTATCTGTGTGTCTAAGTTATTTGAAAACTAATTAGTCTTAAATTAGTCTTAATGCATTTAAGTATGTGTGTGTTTAGAGCTCTGCTGAAACAGGTGAGCCCTGAAAACATAGCAGGATTTGTATATATTTTGCTTTTTTGTGTGCCACTGTTAATGGCATTCAAAGGGCACTAGGGTTGCGAAAGTTGTGCCCAGCAAAGTGAGCCTGGTCACCCAACTCTTCCTCGATCCTGAGAGGAAGAGGAGGAGGCAAGAAGAAAACAGAGAGCAATGCAGAGCAGGCAGATGAATGTGAAAAGGGACACAGCATAGCATAGAATGAAGGGAAAAGAAGAGAAATACATAAATATGATAAGATGCATATATGCTGTAAGTGATAATAAAGTCTTTCTACAAATACACATATTCAATAAAAGGTATAAACACACACCTCATGAGCTGATTGTATTTGGCCAGACGTTCTGATCGACAGGGAGCACCCGTCTTGATCTGAAGGGAGGCAAAAAAATACCATGCTGTTTTTACTATTACCATGTATTTGAGCTACTATTGTACAATGTATTATTGTTGCTTTTTATAGCCTTGTTTCTAAACCACTGCTGCACCGTCATGTTGAAGCACTGTTTAATTTTTTATTGTCTCATTTATGTACCATGAGCCCAGGAAAACTTATATAAGGTGCAGTGACAAAGAATTATAAGAGTATTGTGTATATATGAGTGAGAGTGTTACCTGTCCAGTGCAGAGACCAACCACCAGGTCAGCTATAAAGGTGTCCTCTGTTTCTCCTGAGCGGTGGCTCACCATCACACCCCAGCCGTTCTCCTGGGCCAGCTTACACCTGAAACATAAAGAGGCGGGAGCAGTATAAAAATTTAAATAAGACACACTCAAATACAAGCACATACATACATGTGACTATGTTTATACATCAAACACACAAAATTAACTCACGCTTTGATGGCCTCCGTGACAGAACCAATTTGGTTGACTTTAAGCAGCAGACAGTTGCAGGCTTTTTCCTCCACAGCGCGTTGTATCCTGCGTGGGTTAGTGACCGTCAGATCATCTCCGACCACCTGTAATCATTTTATCATATTAATAATGTTAAGGGAAAACTCCATTACACATGAAGATCGGCCTGCATTACCAACTCAAAGTGGAGTTTAGTGATGTGGGTGCTGAACAGCCAAGGAGTCAGTGAAATACAATATGAGTTTAATTCCAGACTTTGCAGCCATGCTAGTAACTATAAATTAAGATGTCAACCTCTGTAGCATCAATTTTGTCTCTCACATGTCATCTATCTTCATGAAAGTGTTAAATTAAATAGCTAGTATACTAATTAAAAGACCAACTGAGCTAATCCCCTTCAGATAACAAGGGCATAATGTGATCTTTTACCTGGATGCCCACTGAGGCTGTGAACTGTGACCAAGCAGGCCAGTCATCCTGGTCAAAAGGATCCTCAATGGACACAACTGAAGGAATGGGAGATGGGTGAGATCACTTCTGTGAATGTGTTCAAGACTATTAAAACATGCTGTGAAAAACACTAACTGACCTGTAGCTCCCTAGATCACCAATGATGATATGCAATAAATATTCTAGTAGGAGTAATGTCTTTAAATTGACTCAAATTACACACAGACTCACACATGCACTTGATCACACAAGCAGGAAGTGCATCATTGACAGGGTAAAGAGCCACATCACTGCAGGTCTCTGCTTGCCAAATGTGCAGAACACATAATTAAAACCTCTTTAACAGGCCCTTGTGTCAGCAGGAGAAGTCAGGCTGTGGAGACATAGGCTTTCTTGTTTTGTTTTTCCCCTCTTTCTCTGACTAAGAGGTGATGAAAGATATATTGCAATAGTGGAGATCTGAACAAAAGGATGAGCATTCATTTACTGTCAGCAGTTATATAAACAGTGACACTGTGTACTTAGTGATCCGTGGAAATCAGTACACTCCCCTTATTTTAACAATCAAAAAGAATAGGAGAGAAAACTACCCATTCACACCACAGTACACACCTGGATAGTTGTTAATGAAGCCCTGGTAGATGTTGGCCAGCTCCTCAGCACTAATGTTGCGGGCAGCATTGGGGGGAGACTTAAAGTCCAGGTCATATTTGCCCTCAATGAAAAACTCTGAAGCAGCAACATCCATCCCTATCACCACTTTGTCTGTGAAGCCTGCTTTCTCTATGGCCGTCTTGATCAGCTCCAGGGCTGACAGAGAGTCACAGAAAGAAGTAGGATAATGCTTATGCTTCTCAAAAGATCCAAAGTGATTTTTTTAATGCAGTGGTTGTGCTTACCTTCACTGTTCTCCTGTATATTAGGAGCAAACCCTCCCTCATCTCCCACATTCGTTGCATCCTGGCCATATTTCTCCTTGATGACACCTCTCAGTGTCTGATATAGCTCTGCCCCCACACGCAGAGCATCACGGAAAGACTCCGCCCCAACAGGAAGTACCATGAACTCTTGCATTGCCAGCCTGTTACCAGCATGAGAGCCCCCATTGATCACATTAAATGCCTGAGAGTGGGGCAGATAAAGGAGAGGCAGATGTATCTGGGCTTTTATGTTTGGAAGAATTACATTGTTGCACTATAAAATTATACACAACTCACAGGAACTGGGAGGACCAGCTCGCTGTTTCCTGCAAGATCAGCAATGTGACGGTACAAGGGGACACCTTTCTCTGTTGCGCCAGCTTTACATATGGCCAGTGATATTCCAAGAATAGCATTGGCCCCAAACTGAGCTGAAGGAAACACAGGTAGACATGGATGCAGTCTGTAATCACTGCTGCAGAAACATGTCATTACACATAAATGCCACCACTGTACACGAGATGAGCCTTACATTTGTTGTCAGTCCCATCCATTTCAATCATCATATTGTCCAATTTATCCTGCTCCAACACACTGATTCCCTGAAACAAAGCAGCCACAGTGAATCATTTCGTCATGCTTTTCCTTCTAGTCTCCTCTATATTTTAATCCATTCTGCGCTCCTACTCACTGACTGGATGAGGGCGGGTCCAAGGGTGTCATTAATGTGACCAACAGCCTTGGTAACACCTGCAATAGCGGGGGAGAGGGAGTTATATGGAGTCAGCCAGGTCACTTGTCTGTCACAGAAGCACAGAGGATACATTCCGTTGTTAAGTGTTCACCTTTGCCCTTGTAGCGAGCCTTGTCGCCATCTCGGAGCTCCAGTGCCTCATAGATGCCGGTGGATGCACCACTGGGCACAGCAGCCCTGAACAGACCTGAGACAGAGGATTGTTAGGTGGAAGTAAAGGGGTGAAAGCAGAAGGTGTATGCGGACATGGAGAGAATAAGAGTGTGAGTAGAACCTTGTGGATATTTGAGCACAAGACAGTTACAACAGTCATAACTAAGACATTTAAGATATATGTTTTAATGTATTTTTTAACCTTTGTCTGTATGCAGATCTACTTCCACAGTGGGGTTTCCCCTGGAGTCCAGGATCTCCCTGGCAACAATATTCAGTATGGACATCCTGTAGAAAAACAAGAAATCATTAGCTTTATTAATCACTTGTACTGCAGATTACAATTCGGTGCTCATACATAAATCATGCACTCAGTCCATCTTATTTTGATTAAAAAAGGACGAGCAAGTGGTGTTTAAACAAACCGATACAAACAGAATAAAAATTATTCCGAATATTTCAAAAGAGAACATCAAAATACATCTCATTACAGCTAAGTGCCATGTTCAGATTTCACATTAATCACAAGGACGTCACGCTTTCCTCTTCCTCACATGCACGCACACACACTGCAATGATAGTGACGCAGCCTTAGGGATGGAAAGCTGTGGAAAAGATGGAAACATACTGGTGCACAAACACACACACACAGAGAAGAAAAAATATATCAAAAGCTAATTATCCATACCTGTTTATGAATCTACTGTCAGCCTGTTCCACACCACAAGCCAGTTCAATTTCTCTGCTATTTCAGTCAAGTGACTGAGAATATGGACCAATGAAGAGATGAGATGCCGAGAAAACAGAGCAGGGGCAAATGAGATGGAAAGAAGGGAGAGGGGGAGGTGGGAGCGGGCTTAGAGGGATGGAGGAAATGAAGAAATAGATCAATCTTTGTAATTGTTACCTGCAGTGTGTTTGAAGTCTGGTGAAGAAAGTGAGCGATTGTGGGCAAATGAGAGGGAGAGGCAGAGTGACAGGGAGGTGGGAGGAGAAGGGGTGAAAACATATGACACACGGGGGGAGGGGGAGAATGTGAGTCACTGGAAGATGCAGAACGGAGGGGAGGGAGTGAAACTGCGAAATGAGAATAGGGTGGCAAGTGTGATAGAGCAGAATAGGGGTATGTCTTCTGTTTTAATACAATAAAGTGGCTGAAGAAAAGCTGAACGAGACATGTCATTTGTTCCATAACCTCAGTTTCACCCCATGCATTTAACATTGTCTTCCCGACTCCCTGCCAGTCCTATCATGTTTGGTTTTGCTCACTGTGTGTACATCTGCTAAATACCTACACTAGCACTCTGACATGTGTGCAAACATTGTCTCAGCAAACTGCTAAGATGAAAGGGTGATCCGCGGTTGCTCTTATATCCAGTTACCGCTGTTATCCTGCTGA